AGAAAAATGCAGGAGGCCACAAGATAGCAAAGCTATTTCGTCTGCTTCTCAGGGAACGACGATGGCATATGAAGATTGCTTCTGAACTATCCACCTGAATAACAACAATGAATGCCTTGCAAACTTGAAGAGTTGGACAACATCAGTCAAGGTCATTTCGCTTTGTGGAGCCAGACGACCCCGAAGGCCAACAGCAGTATCTTGAATAAAGTGTGTTTCCCATCAGCAGGTGGTTTCTGTGTTGTTTGCTCTCTGCGCAAGTCAACAATATGTGAGACAAACGTCAATAGGGGCATTGAGTTTTGCTTCACCAGTAGAATGGGAGAAAGCACTCATCATACACCAAGACCCTTTGAGTACACAGTAAGCAGTGATTGCAAATCAACAGGCTGGAATTTGCACTTAAGGCCACAAAAGCTTCTGATTGCACTGCATGGCTCGTGGCAACAATTGGGCTGTGAGCCGTGATTAGTTGTCTTCTTACAGCTTCGGCATTAAGGTAAAAGCACACACCAACCCTGTAGGTCTACAGTTAACTCATCAACTGGTTTAAGAATAGGCCTACTAATTTTTACATTTTAGACCAAGGAATAAAGAAACAGCTACATTCCTAAAATGTTTTTTATCTGCAGAGTCCCTCTGCACCTTTAAGAAAAAGCTAAAGACCCAGCTCTTTCATGAATACCTACTAACTTAATGATGATGGTCTCCATATTATTGATGATGATGATGGTAATGACGATGGTTTTTGTTTGATAACGACGACTTATAAGATGGTTTCTATACTGATTAGAGCTCTCAAGAACTGCCCTCAATGTTGTGCTTTGCCTCTGGTCACTTCCTGTCAGCACCTGTGTGTCCAATCAGACTCAAAGCTGATCGTTTGCTCTTACTCACAGTTCTTACTCTCTGATTTACGTCGCTTTGGATAAAAGTGTCTGCTAAGTGAATTGTAGAATCTGCAACTAAAATCATTCACAAATAACAAAGATTGTGGATTCCTTTATTTTTTCTTTTCTTCAAAGAACATCTCGATTGAACGCCCTATAAAGTACCTTACACCACATTTTCCGTTGGATCAGACTAGAACTCTCCATTATTTGGCCCAAAAAAATGTCCTTTGTCTTGTCTTGATTTTGAGGATCACTGTGAAGCTGCATTGCAAGGTATGACCTGAATAAATAGCCTCAGAAATAGGTCACTGTTCTCCTACTTTTGGACTGACTTGTTCCCATTGTACCTTAGTTGTTTCTTTCTTGTGGTTTTGTCATGATTTCTAAGAGTTACCCCCTTAAGTTTCTCGAACAAGTTTTGGCATCTGGCACCAATTTTACTCGTTTAAATTACTTTTTGTTGAACCATATGACTTTCCCAACCCCTAATTTGTCTTATGTGTTTACAAAAGAGCATTGTGGAGTAAATTGTTTTTTTGAGGTTGGGTTGTTCCAATATCAATAACAAGCCTAAAGCTTAAAATGTTGGGTCCAGTTTCATCACTTTGTCTGTCTTTGAACCAATCTGAAACCAGAGTCTATTCGCCCCAATTTAAGTGAACATGGTACACAGCAAATCTAGTCTCCCACAAAAAAAATTGTTCAGACCTGTGCTATATTTTTGGATGTCTGATGGCTACTACAGGCAAATTAGAAGTGTTTTAACAAAACAAAAACCCTGCGTAATGTGATAGATTAAGTTCGCAATGCAGCATGTTTAGAGGGGTTGCCAACTGAGTTGCTACCAAAGTTAGCTTTGCTTCTTTCTATAAGCATGTTTATATTAGTTTATATTGTATGTAATTATGTCGTATTTGTTTGAAACTGTGTTTAGTTGGTTAGAAATTTACTGGGAAAAGTTGCTCATTGTGCTCAGGACCACTGTTGCATCGAAAAAAATTATGATTTGATTTCTCATACTCAGTCGTTCAAAGGTTGGAATCCACAGTTGAAAGTATTCTCAGGGTTCAGTAGCAAATTAACTACAGAGTTCTTTTCAACATTAAAAATTACTTGGTCATTAGAACCAGTAGAAACACTGAATAAAGCTACTTCATCTCTTCTTCTAACACTCTTCAGAAAATACTAGAGAGAGAGAGAGCGATCTGTCACAAAATCATCACACAGGAATATTTACTTCTGCGTTCATTTTGATGTTATTTTTCAGCTTCAATTGACTTGAAATGTTGAAGTTTTGAAAGAAAAGAAAGTCCTGTTGCATTTGTTCTCTGTCTAGGTTTGTTCATGTGTTAAAATGATTTAACAAGAGCCAGGCCAAACAACAATCACTGCAGTCATATCACATCCAGAGAGCTTGAGTAGTATCAAGTTATTTCATTTTTAGACCACAACAGTTGTATCTAAACTCAGTATGGGCTGGTTAGCAATTTTGGGGATAGGCTTGGTATTGAGTCTGATTTTTAAACAATTCTGTGAACTTCCTCTTAGCTCCACTCAGACATGGATAAAGGCGATGGATCCATTAAGTACATTCTGACTGGCGAAGGTGCCGGCTCCACCTTCACCATCGACGACAGCACCGGAGACATCCACGCCCTCCAGAGGCTAGACCGGGAGGTGAAGTCCCAGTACATCCTCCGAGCACAGGCCCGCAACCGCCTGACGGACAGGCCTCTGGAGCCGGAGTCCGAGTTTATCGTGAAGATCCAGGACATCAACGACAACGAGCCGAGGTTTCTAGACGGACCCTACCAGGCGTCTGTGCCGGAAATGTCCAATATAGGTGAGCAGGGCGAGATGAAGGCAGTTACTTTAAAGTGAATACGTATGGTTCATTCCTCCAGCTGCAGATGGAAAACTCCAACCAGTACTTTGATTTATGTGTTGATACTGGCAGGACCGGACCAACTTCTTTTCTCTTCCTTATCTCCTCACAAGCCACTGTAGAGATGGAAAAAGTAAACTTGTTCTTAAGTCCATATAAAAGTACTGAAACGTGTTTAAAGAAGTAAGAGTGAAAAGTACAGGCTTTGAGATTTAGGCTATTGGCTGTATAAATGTAATAAGTGGACCTCATATGGACGTTTCTATAGCCTGTTTCTGTGCAAACCAACTGAACCTCATGTCATATTTGGTTGGATTGGATTTGACTTTAAATATTAGAAGACAAAAAGATTCTGAAAATATTAATAATTTGCTTTGTAGTAATTATGTCTCTCCAGCTTCACATCACATTTATAGTGTATGAGCCAACACAGGGGTTTATTATGCATACGTATATCCTAGAATAGCATTGTATTGTAGTGGTTTGTATTAGCTGTAAGTATTGCTGTAAGACAAATGCTCAGGTATAATTTGAGAGAGTCTCTGTCCAAGTCAGATGTTTGATCCTGGAAAGTGCTGCTATCACTGTAGATATGGGAAATTTTGATTATTTTGCACTGTTATAGACTTTAATTCCCATCATTCCACTGTTATAGACTTTAATTCCCATCATTCCACTGTTATAGGATATAGATGCATGACAAGTATCAAACAGTACAACAGTGTTGGCAATATTAAAATAAGTATTGACGATTCAGACCCAGATACAAAAGGAAAATGTAAATAAGTATTTGTTACCTCTCTCTAACCTCTTCCTGTTGTCCCCCATGTTGTGAACTTAAACCCCGCCTCACCTCTGTGTTTACCCAGGAACTTCTGTGATCCAGCTGACGGCCACAGACGCAGACGACCCCACGTATGGTAACAGCGCTCGCGTGGTCTACAGCATCCTGGAGGGACAGCCTTACTTCTCAGTGGACGCCAAGACTGGTATGACTTTCACACATGATGCAAAACCTCCCTCTAAGACACTCAATCTGTGACCGCAGAAAGCAACATTTTTATCTGTCACATAAAGCGTTTGATGTATTTCAAACCTCTCTAGGAAAGTCGTAAGTATTTCATGAACTCCATATGAATTTGTGATGATGTTAGATAACCTGATAAAGCACTGACATTTGGGATTTGCTAACACTCATTTGACAGCTACTGTTAAACCCCCACCTTGCTTTCTCACACTGTATCACACTTATAATTGCACCAGAGTCTGAATTTAGCAGTGCTCACTAAAAGCCCCTGTGTATTCCAGCCGGCTCCAAATGTGGGAAGCTCAGCATGGTTCTGGTAGCTGTTACGAGACTACCAAACACTTTTTTTCTGAAACACTGCTTCCTTTTATTACAACTTGCAGAATCTGGAAACTCTTCTTACAAACCAAAAAGAAGTGCTAAACTCAAAGTCTGACTGCTTTGTTGAAAACAAGGACAGAAAGAGACAAGCTACTCTTCATAGTGAAGTGGCTTGTTAGAGTAAGTTCAGGTTTAATCTCCTACAAATGTATCCACTTATCATTGTGTAGCAACTAAAGGACCATGACAACCATTTAGCATGTTGACTGTGAATAAAAACACAAATTACATTTCAGCCAATCAGTTGGCAAACACTGCTGTTGTGTTTACTTATTTATATCATCATGTGTGTTATGATCTGTGAACATACTTGAGGTGATAAGCGTAGCTTAGCATACATAATGAAAAAGGTGGATACAACTAGCTTGGCAATGTCCAAAGTTAAAACAAACTGTTTTAAAGCTCAGATTTTATCCCTGTATATCTAATCCAAACAAACTGGAGGTTAGCCTAGCTTAGCATAAGAAATTACATTGAAGAATACAAAACTTTTATGCGATTTTTATGCGATTTTTCACACTTCAATATAATATAAATCAAGTATATCCTCTGAAAATAACTCTGTGAGTCATGACTGTCTACAATGGGTGTAACACCCGAGTCCCACTGTCTGTGATGTTTTCAGAGTTTTCAGAGTCCTATCTTCACTTTGTTTACATCGCCAGGACGGCCGGCTGACTCCTCCCCTCGTGTATAAAAGTTGTTTAATTGAGGGACTAGAGAAAAGAAGAATAACATACTGTACTCACTGCTTAACTGTGTTTCTAGATCACGCTCATTTCAGGTAAATTTACATGCAGTGTGAAGATACCAGCATAATAAAGATCGCTAGCATTAGCATGCTAACACAACAATGCAGCGCGAGTTGTTTTGGTTTCATGCTGGAGCTCAAGGGCGACATCTGAAAAAAAAATCGCATATAAAACTTGTTGATAATGAGCTAAACTCCTTGAGCCTGAATATTTCCCTGCAGCACTACCTCCTCCAAAAGATCCATTAGTTCCCCTATAGGCAGAGAGTCAGTGTCCATTGTTTACCACAGCTGCCTCATTTCCTTGTTTGTCAGCACAGAAATCTGCTGCCAAACCTCTCAGGCTGCCCGGCCATCAGCAGCCTCTCAGACGGCTGCTGCTGTACATTCATTCATCACTGGTGCACAAGTGGCTCTCCAGCTATCAATCAGCCTCCCTGACTGGACTATAAGCACCACACTTGGGGGGGTTTTATTGGAGGAAACACAATGTAAAACCTTAACACACACACACACTGTTACACTCACCTCTTTTCTTACTCTGCAGCACAATACATCTCTTGACCTTGGTTTGATTCTGCTGCCTCTGGCAAAACTGTCTGTCTCCGTTTATAATAGTGTGAAGATGGCATGCAGTGATAGAAAGTGGGGGACAGAGAGTGTACAGTTTTTGTCTAATATTTGATGTTTGTCTGTATTTCATGAAAATTATAATTTCCAGCCATGAACACTCACTTTTTTTTTCTTCATTTTAAAGTCTGTTTTAATCATTTACAGTGAAACTTTCCCTATTTCATGTCCTTATATGTCCCTGACAGCCCTGCAGCGTTCTGTATGTGTGTGTGTGTGTGTGTGTGTGTGTGTGTGTGTGTGTGTGTGTGTGTGTGTGTGTGTGTGTGTGTGTGGTGTCTCCTTCACACTGCATCCTTTAAATCCTAATGGTCGTCTTGGGAGCAGGATAATTATAGGACCTAATAATTTTAGATTTGGTTGTGTGTCTGACAGAAACAGATTGACCTTTAATGACAGAAGTGGCGGCCACATGACTGTAATGTGATAAACTTTATGACATTTATGTAATCCTGTACTTAACGGACTAAGCCTGGGATGCAAAAACCGTCGTTAATGCAGATAAATCTCCATTTTCCCAGCATAAGAGTAAAATAAAAGTGCACTCAAACTTTCCCATTTCTTACGTCTTTAGGGGCAAGGATCACTTTGTTTCTCTGCTATTGCGTCCACATAAAGAAGCTGCACACATAGTCCATTAAAGCTTTACTTAAACAGACTATAAGATGAAGAAGTTTAATTAACAATCAATTCATGCAGCCTCTTGTCCAGTCCGTTGGGATTTTGACATTCCAGGACTCTCGCTCGGACACATGACCCTAATCTGTGTCACCAGCTCTCCCTGTCTGACCTTTACTTCACCTCCTGTCTCTGTGTTCTCCTCAGGCGTGGTCCGGGTGTCTCTGGCAGACATGGACAGGGAGACAAGAGAGAACTACACGGTGGTCATCCAAGCCAAAGACATGGGGGGCCAGCTGGGGGGGCTCGCCGGCACCACCACTGTGAACATCACGCTCGGCGACATCAACGACAACCCGCCCATGTTTGACCAGAGTAAGAGAAGGACTTCACTTCTTCTTCTACACTGCACTCTCTCTTTTTATTTTTACTTTTCACTCCCTGTTCGCTCTGCAAAAACACATTGTGAGCTTCAAACATGTCTTCTAAGCTTGCTTCATTTATCCACTGTTAGAGTTTCCCTGCAGATTAAGACTTTTTTCTTTTCGAGTAAGATGCTTTTTGATATCAGAAACAACTGTAACATCTTTTTCTTCAAAGCCACCAAACTCCATCGACAAAACCAGTGATTTTACCCTGCAGAGTAGTAGTAATGAGGTGCTTGTCTTCCGCCACCTCAATCAGTACGTTTTGTTAATGTTTATTACATACATTTTGTGTTTGATCAAAATCACACAATAACACAGAAAAACTAGCCGATGAATGCAGCGGCAGACCAGCACCTCCCAAGAGCTGTAAGATAAAATCGTTGTTTTTATCAATGGAGTCTGGTGGCTTTGAAGGGAGCGATTTAAGGTGTTTTCATTAACAACGTTTTATCTCTGTAGGTTTCTTATTCCGTAATGTTGTCAGGCCTTGGGAATAATAACCTGAGACTGTCAGTTGCAGAAATAAGACCTCAGATGTGCACATTTGCCCTGCAAGATTGCATTGCAGCCATTGCAGCCTGTCTTAAGCGGCTTTCTCTAACCATAAGCCATTTAGACCCCAAAATGAAAAAAAAAAAAAACGGTGAAAAAAGTGAAAAAGTGAAAAAACGGCCAAAATAAAAAATAAAAACACAGAATTGCTCTAAAAATGACAGTGAAAATGAATCTCTTAGGGTTGTGGACAAAACAATATTTAACGACTTCTTTGAGGCCATCATCTCAAAAAAAAAGAAAAATCAATTCATGGAAAAATAAACAATTATTAACAGTAAGAATAACTGTTAGTTGAAGCTGTAGTAAAGGAAAACCAGATGCATCATGGAGCTGCAATAGTATCTCAAAAGAAACTAAATCAAGTCCCTTGTTATTGTTTGATTTTAAGGCTGAAACTAAAGATTAATCAAAATATTAGCACCCTTAATCCGCTCCCAGAGGTATCCCACATGTCGTTCAGTCTATAATTCCATGAATTTATTATTTTAATTAGTGCTTTCTTATAACACCATTGTAAAGAGACCCCAGTGGAAAACGGCCAACCATGCTGATATGGACTTTTAAGAGACTGAAATACTTATTGGGCTGTGTTTTTTTTGTTGCCTCGAATGACCCTGAAGTTCCATGAATCTTAAAAACAACACTCTGTCTTGTTTCAGGGCTGCTGCTGCTGCTTAACTTGTGGTTAGGGTCATCTGTGTTTTTCAGCTGCATATGGGGCTGCAGAGTGGCGTGTCTGCAATAAAACATGGAACAGCAGCTTACATATTCATCGTGACACACACACACACACACACACCAGGAGAGTTCACTGTTTTTGTATGTGTGCCTCCACCTCGGTTCTCTCAGGCCTCCGAGCTGTTAGCCCCTCTGCCCTTCTCCCTTCTGTCCTCATCTGGCCACCAGTCCCTGAGCATTTACCCCCTGCCCCCCCCCCCCCCTTCCCCTCCCCCTCCTCTCCTTCCTTTAGCCACCAGTCGCCCCCTCGCTGTCTCTTTGATTATCCCTGTTCCTGCTCCTCTCATTACCGTCCTCCTGAGGTCAGGGTTTGTCTATAGCTGTCCGCGGTCATCTCTCCCTTGCTAGACAAAGAAAAACACCCGCCGCCTCTACACGCCCGCCCGCCCACCTCCATCACCACCAGTCCCCCGCACCAATTAGCGCCATCACTTGGATAGAACTTTGATCGGTTGTGAAGAGCTTCAGGGATTCCCCTCTGTCAAGCACAATGTGCCGGCATTTCACTTCGGACTGCAGGGAGCGCCGCAAATTGGGCAGCTGTCACCTCTTCTTTGAGGTTAAACGGTAGATGAAATTGAAGCTGACCCGTGAGACTGTACGTAACCCAATTGTGAGGCGTTTGTGGACCCGTTAATTCTGAGCTGTCTGAGATTCTGAGAGCACATGGAAGAGGTTTGGCTCCCTCTAGAGGACAATTAAAGACAGGGAAATGTACAGCAGGATGATCACTGTTGTTTGTTTACCTCCTCAGGGTTGTATCAGATGAGCATCCCCGAGTCGGCCCCCGTGGGGTCTGTGGTGGGGCGGATCTGGGCGAAGGACCGGGACATCGGGGTCAACGCAGAGATGAGGTACAGCATCATCGACGGAGACGGGAGGGACACGTTTGATATCAGCACCGACCCCACCAACCTGTTTGGCAGCATTACGGTGAAAAAGGTACAGAGCTTTATAAAGAAAGGTCTTACATGTACTTTTTTTATCTGTGTTACAAGTTAGAGGTCACTAAATCACTTTAGTGTTCATTTATCCTTTTGTCAAAAATCCATAAATTACTCTTATCCTACCAGTCGACAGATTTGATGATCTTTGATCAACCATTTCCTGTGAAACATCAAATGAATAGCCCAGGTTTTTATTGATGTCAGTCTATAGAATTCCCCTAACTTGATTTGGGACAGGCGACAATACGTACTATGCCTTTAATTATTTTCAAACAAAGAAAACTTGTGATGTGTTATAATAATAATAATAATAACCTTATTTATATAGCACCTTTTAAAAACACAGGTTTACAAAGTGCTTTGACAAACAGCTAAAACAAGAACAAACTAAACCAAACACAGAAGAACATAAACAACAACAAGAACATAACATGACAAAATACTAAAAATAATGAAATACAATTCAACAGAAAAGAACCCAAAGTGCACGATACCCAACAGACATATAGAACCCGACCATCACAAGAACCATTATAAGAACCCAACAACACGAGCTGAGACCAAAAGGAACCAAAGATTTAAAAAGATGTAAGAAACTAAAAGAATAAAAATAAAAAGTTGACAAGAAGATAAGAAGGTAAGAGCAGGAAAAGAAACAGAAACAAGTGAATAAATTACCAAAAAAACCAATAATATTAATAAAAATAAAAAGTATATATACATATAAAACATAAATAGACAAAGTAAATAAGATTTTTTTTTAAATTACCAAGTTAAAACACAAGAGGAGTTAAGATAAGAGCATAAATAAAAGGACAGTAAGAAGTAAAAGAAGATAAAAATAGTAAATGACGATGAGGAGAAACAGCTTGAGTTTGTACTTTTTTTATTTCATTGCAAACCTGCTACATCCCTGAAAAGCTACTTCAAGATAAAGGGAGAAAGTTAGAGAAACCTTTTGGAAAAATGTATGAACTTAAAGATTATTCCTGCTGTTTTTAAACGTGTTCCCTACTTGTGTCGTTTGGGGTCTAAATGATTCATTCCTACAAAATGATCTGGCTCCTGTGGAAGCTGGCAAAAATGACTTTGGGACAATTTTGCTCGCTCAAAAAAATGCATCTACTAAAAGATTGTCTTCTCACTGAGAGGCTCAGATTGTTCCTCTCTGTGTCTGACTAATTACAGCGAGGGTTCCTACAGAGATACCACCAAGATTAATGGGCTTTTTTGAAACCCAAAAATAGCCTTGACATTGTTCTCATAAAAGTTACAAGGCTTGATTGACATGAAGTTTCTCTTAGTAAGTATCGCATATCTGCTGCCTCCCAGTTCAGTTTGAATGAAAAGGCACATCATGTCAGTATGTAGCACTGCAGGAACTTCTTTCTTAGGCATCAAAATAGTGACGAAATCAAACTTCAGGGAGCTCAAAGTTGTTTCTTGTGATATACTTTAAAACTGCAGTAAAAAAAAAGTATGTCACCCTTGAAAGGCTTTGTGTGTTTGTGCACCCTCCAGCCGCTGAACTTTGAGAGTAAGCCCAGTTACACTCTGAAGGTGGAGGGCGCCAACATCAACCTGGACCCGACTTTGCGCCACCGCGGGCCTTTCAAGGACGTCACCATTGTGCACGTGAGCGTGGAGGACGTGGACGAGCCCCCGCTGTTCGACTTGGAGGCGTACATCATCGAGCTGCCAGAGGATGCAGAAATAGGGACGGTGTTGAAGACGGTGTCAGCAAGGGATCCCGACGCTGCCAACAACACTGTGAGGTGAGGAAGACGACGACAAACACCGCTCTGACTTCATGTGGTGCTGCAGAATTCTTTAAATATTCTATTCTAGTATTCTAGAATACAAGCTGTCAGTGCCTCTCTCGCCAAAAATGCTACATCATATTCATCACAAAAACACTTTTAAGGTGATGATATGTTTTTTTTTAAAATGCAGCAGAAAATGTGCATGAAACACATTTTACTATCTCACTGTTGGATGGCAGAAACAACGAAACAAATAATACAATTTTACAACAAAAGAAACTCGTTTGAGAATTTGTCTCATTTTAATTGAAATAAAATGAGTGCAAATCACGTTAATAATACACAAACGACATCAGCAGATTCAGGGATTTGAATGACCTTGAAGTCATATTTCTTGTTTATTTCCTAATGCATGCTGGGTAAGGCTGTAACACCTGCAAAGCAAGTGTGACTTTTTGTAAATAAACAGCGATTAGATAATTAAATTACGCTGGATTTAACCAACATGAAGAAGTTTACAGTCAGTGGTAACACGTTTTTTTAGAATGTGGCTCTTCTTGTGTGTGATGCTACCTGATCACCAGCAGGCGGCAGCATTACAACATATCTAGCAGGCACAATTTAACAACCCTGTGTGTTTGAGATCTCCATGGTAACACATGTGACAGTAATGAGGAGGAGGAGGAGGAGAAGGACTAACGTGATAACCGAATCTGACAGGTTTAGAGCTCCAGCGATTAGTCAGCACCCAGAGACTGAAAGCTGAGGACTTCTCTCAATTATGGAGGTGTTTGTTTGTTGTGTTCTGACGGAACAGATGTTGCTTGCTGGGTTAACTGTCCAGACTGCAACTCTCATAAACTAATTAGACATAAAGCCTTTTAATTAGCACATTAATCATGTGTGGGAATCAGTGACTGTGGCGGTGGATGCACACTACACGGGCTGCACCGCGTCCCAGCTGTACCACCTCGATTAGGGCGAAAAGAAGAGCACGAGAAGTGGATGTAGTTGACAAGGTGGTTACTCCTGTGTGTGTGTGTGTGTGTGTGTGTGTGTGTGTGTGTGTGGACACTCAGCAGTTTATCTCAAGCGCTGCATCTGAAAAATGTCCTCCTCATTCTCGATTGTTTTACAGTCAATACTGAGCAGGAACACTTATAGATCCTCATTATTTTACCATCCTTGAAAGATAAAGTGCTCTAAAATTATAGTTTATCTAAAAAAAAAAATCTTTGTGTTATGGGATTTTAATTTTGTATGCAAAACAAGCAGGGCACACACGTTGTGGATCATACTTTATGCTGCATCATGGAAATTTATGGCATTTGTGAGACTTTGGTATTTGAGGCAAAACATAGTCCTGGAAATGTAAACATTTTAACTGGTTGCAAAACAGATAAAATGTAAATCGCTAAATTATTAGGTTCCGCTTTTTGAAAGAGATTATCTGCTTGATGCAGGAAAACAGAAATAACTAACAAAGATATGCAAATGACAAAAATGAAACTTTTCACATTTTATAAGCGGCATAACAGTTTGCCTTCACCTGAAAGCTAAAACAAATGATAAAGTTGAAGATCTGATCCTCCTCTTGGAAGTAACCAAGAGAAAACAGACACATACAAAGACACACCAGAGTGAAGTGACTGTGTACACAGGTACCTTCACGGTTACATAAAGACGTTTCTAAAGCCTGGAAGAGGATGAGCTGGGTTCTTTCTGTGTGTGTGTGTGTGTGTGTGTGTGTGTGTGTGTGTGTGTGTGTGTGTGTGTGTGTGTGTGTGTGTGTGTGTGTGTGAGGAGTGTTTTTGGAAAGCGGCCCGCAGTGGCATCACTCGAGCCAAAGCTGCAGGTCTGTGTGTCCCCGCGTCGTCTTTGGCAGAGGAGGCAGATACTCTGATGAAGTCTTATCTTCTTCCTCGTGTGTCTTCAGACGCTGCCAGCCTGACGCCTTATCACACACACACACACACACACACACACACACACACACTGAATCACTTTACATAACACATACATTCCCCGTGTCTCCAGGTATTCCATCGAGAGGTCCAGTGACCCCGACAAGTTCTTCTACATCGATATCACTTCAGGGTCGCTGATGACGGTGCGTTCACTGGACCGAGAGGAGCTCGGCTGGCACAACATCACCGTCCTCGCCATGGAGATGAGTACGTCCCACACACACAAACACACAAACACACACACAAACACACACTAGCAAAGAACTTTTCCTGCACACAATCTCTTGATCCCACAAAATGAATCAAAGTCCAGAGAACTGCAATCGTCTTGACTTTATGAATGGTATCTGTTTCCAATTGTCAAAGACAGAAGGAGATATTTGCCTTTATCATCCATTTATTTTATGTATTTCATTTTAAAAACAGAACATGAAACAAAACAAAGAAATATGTTATCGAAACGTCTAAACATTTCAATTCCATTTCATTTCTTAGCAACCCTTTTTAGCTAAGATTGCACCTAGTTTAACGGTCTTTAGAGTAAAATAAATACATGAATGAATAAAAAACGACAGCGTAACGTCCTGATCTGCTGGATGTCAAACTCATGTAGGTTTCAAAGAGAGATGGAAGCAACACGTAGAGTGCTCTACCAGAGAAAGAAAATGTCTTACCCTGAAGAACAACCTTATTGAAGTCAAACTCTAAAGTCTGAACCTGCATTGAATTAAGGAAAACGACATTTAGTTTCTCCAGAATTAGGGAATAAGCCTCATTTAGTAAGAAAACTTCTCGCTATTTTTAGGAGAGAAAAGCATTCTGGGAAAACAAAAATTTGAATTTAACTTTGTTTTTAATAAACTGAAAGGATATCGCAGTCACAGCTGTATTTTTTTTTACAGTTTTTGTGGAAACATTCAACATTTTGGGATGATGAGGTTTTTTTTCTCCCTTTTTTTGATAATTTGCTTCAATTTTCTTTTGTAATTTTAGACTTTAGAAGACGCAATGTGCTTCAAAGTGAAATGATGATACTGACAATAAAAAATAAGCTGAATCTAGTTAGCCAAAATAAAAACTTGGAGGAAACTGAACTTCAAGCATTAATTAATTTGAATGATTTCTATTAGAAGAAATGAACTCTTTTTGCTTTTTTCTCAAAACTCTTAAAGTTATAAACAACAAAGGGAGGATTCAAGGAGACAAAGAAAGCCCACAGACAAACAGATCAGAGAAGATATTTGCAGAAAAACAGAAGCAGTGATGTTTGATAACATCTCCTGCAGAGTTACATAACGTGGAGCACAGAAACCGTGCAGATCTGCACACAGCTGCACAGGCTCTGAAAGTCACCTTCACCCTCCTCCCTCTGCGACTCTCTGTTTGATACACAAACACAATCAAATGAACGACTAATTAACAAAGTTTTCACATGGAGGCTGATCAAAGAAGTGACGCAGGCAGAGAGGGCACAGGTGAGAAGGCGTGGAGAGAGAGAGAGAGAGAGGGAGAGAGGGAGAGAGGAGTGACAGAAACTACAAAACAAAACTGATTGAATTAATAGAATAATTCAAAATACTCAAAACCAGTGAATGTTTCCTTCCTCTTTGTTTTCCAGTGATCAACTTTCATATGTTTTTTATTCTATTATAACTCTGTAAAATACATGAACTGATTTATTCCAATTAAATTAATATTTATTTAAGTAAAGGTGCAGTGAAATTATACCCAGAGGATAAACTTTCATTCAGAAGACTTTTACTTTTTGTCTGAATAAATAGACACATTTACATTCACTTATTTCCCTTCTGTTCAAACCGTCAACAGAGCTCAGTGTATGAACTCCTCATTGACCCACACACACACACACACACTAACACATACTCAAAGCCGCGTGGAGCTTCGACCTCGAGAGCAAAAGTCACCTCATCGATTGATCGATCATGTGATGAAACCTGAGAAAGTAGTTACCACTCACTAATTGCGTTTCTATTGCCTATTACACAGCTGGTTAAGAAATGCAAATGTGTGCTTGTTAATGGAGAATAATAGAATCCTAATGTGCCGCCGGCTCGCTGTAAATGAGCCGAGGATTAAGAGAGGCACAAACTGAGCTCAGCAGGTTCATCAGAGCCTTTTTTTCTGAGGCCATTGATGCATCGTATACAGCCTTTGACCTCCTCTGTGTGTGTGTGTGTGTGTGTGTGTGTGTGTGTGTGTCTCTGCAGATGACCGTACAAAGGTGTCGAGTGTGCCTGTGGCTGTGAGGGTCCTGGATGTGAACGATAATCCCCCCTCGCTGATGCACTACCTGGAGGCTTATGTGTGTGAAAACGCCAAAGCAGGACAGGTACCGAGACACAGACAACTTTTAACACCCCGGCATGCAGAAAAATACAATCCACAACTTAAAGAACGTTCAAGTTAAATACCTCGCCTCCACCAAACTCCAGAGGAAATAAACTAACTTTTAACTCCCTTGTATTTATTTAACTGCTAAAGCTACTAATTATCTTGCAGATGAAGATTTTTTTAAATCAAAAATATTCCTGTGAAGATATTCATTTTTCTTCCTAAGTAGACTTCCCACTAACTCTGAGTTTGTTGATGTAATCCAGCTGATCCAGACAGTCACAGCCGTGGATCCGGACGAGCCGCTGGGTGGACAACACTTCTACTACAGTCTGGCTCCAGAGGCTGCAAACAACCCAAACTTCACCCTGAGAGACAACCAAGGTGAATAAAGCATGTGTACTATCAGGCTGCTCTGCACAGATCAGGGTTTATACCAACCTGCACTCATAAACACCCACATAAGTCTTACATGATTATACAACTACAGT